TTTGTCACTTTTATATGCCAATTTTCACTCTTACTTATCAAAGTAAATTTTATATTGAAATCTGTTTCACTCTTCAGAGTTAGAAGGATCAGAATAAAAGTTGCCAAGGAGATCCATATTCTGTGCAGTTAAACAATAGAAATTTCTTTAGATGCCTCCTATAGTCTAGCCAATCTGTTAAGGAGTTCCCTTGAAGGATTCCCCATTAATTAGAAAAGTACTATCCACTATAGTGGGGGAAAGAAGGGAGACTGAGAGAAGGAAAACCAACATGCCCATGTATATTCCTAATCAGAGCTGTTTCCTGCCAGTGAAGGGAGAAGAGTAAAAGACTCATTGATTCCTTCAGGAATTACATCATGCGGACCTTATTTTCTTGGGGAGCACACAAATAACATGGTGATGGGTAATACAGAAAATCCTAACATTTTCAGTTTCAGAAGTTTGCTTCCAACTGTTCCTGTAGACGTAAGTTGAAAGTCTGCCTTACTTAACTGCATTTTAGTACTATGTCCATCAAATAGAGGGCAAGGAGCTTTTCCTGGATTAATTTTTACACAATACTTATGTATACAAGTACAATCATTCCATATTTGCAATAACTTTAAAATATTACTTGTTAATTTAACACTCAGATGGATCAGGATATGAAGAACCTGATATTTTGAGAGGAATAAAACTATGGAAATTAATGGGAGTGGGTTAAAGTAGAGTTTGAGCTTCACAGGATAGATTTAAATAAATTTTAATAATGATTTAAATCACCTAGTGGAAAACCTTGATTTAAATCATTGATATTAATCTTGTCTTGCATTTGTATTTTTTTAGTCTCATTGCTTGGTAGCCATTAAAATATGTTGATTTGCAACTCTAAAAAAGCCTTTACACTAAATTTGGTGGTACTTTTTGCTAACTAGGAGGATAGGCTACATCTCAACACATTTATTTAAGCAATATAGTTGCTTAACATAAATTTATTCAGATTATTTTTTTTACATTTTGTTAGAAAATGGTGTATGATGCGTTTCTTATTTACTTGTGGTTTTTTACTCCTCATTTGTGTCAATCTGTGTTTGGAATTTGGAATTAAATTAAAACTCTACAGAAATAACTTATATAAAAGTTTTAAACTAAAAGTGCCCTATGCCTATGCTAGGCATATAAGAGAGTTTATCAAAACATGATTTGCATTTAAAATCAACTTGTGTTATACAGATGAAGTACTATGTGTAGTTAATGAATTGAATAGATTTTTTTTTTCTGGTTGCCATTCCTTCAAGACTTTAGAACTAGTAGAGCTCATTCTCTTGCACCTAATTTTTATTCATAGATTGGAAGAGATTGCTTTTTAACATGCAATCGGCTTATTAACTTTCAGTGAATTACTTATTGAATTGAACTAGTTGAATTCATTAACTACACATAGTACTTAATTGATTTAATACACAGTAGCTTATATTACATTAGCAGAATCATTTTTATTGTGCACGTTAAAATGGCTTTATATGAATAATCATAAAAAGGGGGGAAGGAGCCTTTTTAGTTCAAACAGACTGGGAAAGATAACTGAACCAAAATTAACTTGCAACTATTGAAACTGGTAAAAGCTGGGGGGGGGGGCGCATTATTCCACACCATCACATAAGGGTTTGTTTCTCTTATAGTTTTTTAAATCTACCTATGCCCTACCTCCGTTTTCCCTCCTCTCCTATGCATTTGAAATTAGTAAGCAGCAACTATCAGTTGCATCGTACTTTAGATGTAGACCTTTCCGAAGTACAACCCTGCCAGTACTGACCTTTGATGTATTGGTATGTGCTTGCTCAGCATTATTAAATCACTCTTATTACATGGAGTTTGAGGGGTGATATTTGCCCTGCAATGTCAGAGGGAGAGGTCTGTCTAGTGTTATAATTCTTGATAAAAAATGTTAACTGAGTTCTCTGGGATTCCGCAACATTTTCTGAGTTCATCCTGAGGAATTGCTTTGTGATAAGGAAAATCAGTGGATTTTTGAGTGAATTCTTGGTGAGTGTAAGTTTACTGTTTCTCAAAGCCTTTGGCAGTGTACAGTATCCGTTACAAGAGGTATCGGAAGCAGCTACTTCAGTCTTTTCTCTCTCTCCCCCCCCCCCCCCCGTATTGCCTCTATTTCTGAGCAGGAAAAATCAGAAGCACATGTTAGTGACTGATAGAAAGACAATTTGTAGGTGTTAACGCAAGATGCTTTGGTACAAAACAAAAAATCCTGTAATAGTTCATTTGGAATTAGTGATCCGCATAATGCAGCCTGCTGCTAGTAGTTGTGTATTGAATAGAAAAAGTAAGGTTATTCTGAATAGAAAATATTACAACTTCTTTATATTGAACAAAAGCAGTAAGGGAGCTGTCAGCAACTGGAATGATTCCTTTTTACAATGACCTTTGTATATAACTTTACTCAAATAAGTTTAAATTTGAAAAAGTTATATGTACATTAGGCTGTGTAAAGTTAGCTCTTACTGTAAAAAATTGTAGGTTTAGGAACATCAGATAAACTAACACATCTACCACTGATAAAGGAAAGCAGAATCGTAGCTCACCTGTTTGAATTAATCAATATGCAGATCAGCCTCATTATTCGGTGATATCAGTCTTCAAAATGGTGTATAAAAGGTATACAGTGCATGAATCCCATTGTTCTACCCCTGTATATAGGGAGTCAAATTGCATGGCAAAAACACTCCCAGCAATGCATTATGGATGCCTTGGCCATCGTTTGAATCAATATATTTTTAATAAGGTTTGTGTAGGTATTAGCTCTATATACAGCGTTTTATTTGTGATATTAAACCTTTGCGCTAGGGATACTGTCAACTTGCAACCTAACACATGAGTAATTTCAGATGCTACACCTGGTCAAAGAATAGTCCTTCTGATCATATGGTTGTATTAATATATGTATTTATATAGCTTAATATATATCTCTTGGGTTTCTCCATGATTGAGTTATTCAAATTAATTTCCCCACTTTTATAGATCTTGCTTACTCGTTAATGGCACCTGTTATTTCTGTTTTGTTCAGCATTGGACTATGTAATATACAAACCCCTCAAATGCAAAGTGTACACATAAGTGTGTTATGAGATGAAAAAGGCATGGTACTAATTCTGAGAGTTCTTAAGTCTTTGGTAAGCTTTTTTTTTTTAAATTTGTTAGCTTTTTCTGGGAGCATCTCTCTGAATTTCTTTTCCGTAACTTTTTATATTAGTTATGTGATTTACTATACTGGCCTTCAAAAATAAATATTTCAACTTCTGGGAGGGCTTTTACTATGTTATCCCATCATCTGTACTTTTATTAATATAACAGTTGCTCACCTAGTCAGCCAATACAGAATTATTCGTTACAGAAAACTTTTGTGTTGGTTGACAAATTAGTTCTACATGGCTGAAGTATTGGGACATCTACCTCTTCCTTGGAGTAATATTCCACAGTCCAAAAAGATGTCTGGGAATATTGGAAATTTTCCCAACAGCATAAAGCTTATTTTCTTTTATGTAATATCATTGACACTAGTACTGCATCATTTTTTAAAAGAAGATTTGGATTCTTTTGGAGCTAGATGTAATGCTTGTTTCAGAGTAAAATACAGGTTAAATGATTGTGGCAGCAATGTAAAACATTTTGAAGTATCTGTCACTTTGATGTTACTGTAGTTGAAATGGATAAATTAAAATATGCTTACACTCTGAACATGCAGAATATTAGCATGAGGTATCTTAGGCATTATAGGTATTTAGCCTTCTCCTTGTTGCTCTTATGCCCTATATAGTATATAATCACAGTACATATCTTGTCATGAAACAGTGAAATCTGTTGATGCAGAAGCTCTCCTTATGTTGCAACAGGAGGCTCCAAGGATTGTGTGTTTCTTCTTGGAAATGACAATTCATAGCTGGACAGAAAATAGTTTTCTGAACAGGATGTTGTGTTGCCAACAGGGAAAAATACCCATTCCTGATCCATAAAATGTTGAAATGAGACTGCTATTTCAATCAGGTTTAAGGGAGAGGAGTAAATATCAAGAACAATATTGTGGAATAGGAGTGATCTGGAATCTCTGTGGAGAAACTGAGCTGGAGTGGGTCTCAATCAGTGATGTCAGGCATTGGGGGAACTCTGAGTTATAGGGAGTAAGGTAGCAGACAATAAAAAAGAAAAGTAGCTTAGATAGTGCAGTGGGTTAACAGTAGTATATATTTTAGGATATCTATGTTCAACTCTAAAAAGGGCATAAATTAAAACCAGCTGATCTCATCCTATTTTCTATTTCTATACATCACAAGCAGAACATGACTAGACACAGCACTGTCTTAAGGAGAGAGATTAGGTCCTAAATAGCAGTGTAGTATAGGTCAGGACTGAAGAGTCAATGGTAAAGTTGCATAGGGAAGTTTGCATGGCGTCTGCCTATATTTTTACCTGGCTTACAAATTGCACACTGCAGAAGAGTGTGGTGATGAAATCTGTATCTAAACAGAAAAGTTTTTGTCATTGAAGAACAAACCAAACATACTGATACCCTTATCTAAGAACTAAATTATGCTTTAGAAAACAGAATGGATAAAGGAATGTGATTAAAGAATAATTATGTTCTGGTTAACAGTAGTCAGTATAGTCTATTCTGTTTGTGATTTTTAGTTAACTTTTCTGAATAGCTAGAATTGTACAAAATACCTCAAGGATTCAGGAAATGAATCTAAAAAATCCAAAATAGTAAATTGGATCAGTGAATATTATAAAGTAATTCTAAATAAGTGTTAGACCTTTACTATTCATTTAATAGTGGATCTACATCCTAATACTGAGGGGAAATAATTTTAATAGCATCTTTTCTTATTCAAGTAATTATGAGCACACAGTGTGCTCAATGTGTGTATATTAATTCTTTGGGAATATTTTTTGAATATTTGAGCCTTATCTCTCTGCAGAATATAATTAATGTATTTTATTGGCAGGTAGAGAGTAAGACAATGGCAGGCAACAAGCAGCTTTGCATCCGACGTTGGACTACTAAGAACGTAGCCAAATGGCTAAAGGAAGAAGGCTTCTGCGAGTACGTGGACGTTTTGTGCAATAGACACAGATTGGATGGAATTACATTATTGACACTGACTGAATATGATTTGCGATCTCCTCCTTTGGAAATCAAAGTCCTGGGGGATATCAAAAGACTAATGTTGTCGATACGTAAATTGCAGAAACAGCATATTGAGGTTTTAGAAGAGTTGGGTTACAACAGCGATAGTCCCATTGGCACAATGTCTCCTACCGTTGGCTCCCTTCAAGATACGGATTGGTTTTGTAATGGTGAAGTACCACGGGACTGTGGACCAGTTACTGACCTGAATGCTGATCAGTATCAATACACAAATGGGAAAAACAAACATCCTATGCGAAGACTGGACCCTGAGTACTGGAAAACAGTCTTAAGTTGTATATATGTTTTCATAGTGTTTGGCTTTACATCATTTGTCATGGTTATAGTACATGAGCGTGTACCTGACATGCAGACATATCCACCGCTACCAGACATATTTCTAGACAGGTAAGTACTTGTTCAGAAACAGAATGATGGTGTTAAATCACAAAATTCTTGCACCTTTATAGATGATATTTTGAATTTCAATATATTTCATAATAATCTTTCAATATCTAACACCTGGCATTGGGATATCACATTTCTGAATGTATTCGCCCACGGTCTAGATTGTAATGTACTCCAATTCTCAAGAGTTTAAAGAAATATAATTTTAAAAGGCTTTTGTGAAGAAAGAAATTGAGCAGTTGACTTAAAGTGCTGCTGTTACTACTATACAATTGGATTTTAAAGGAAAACTGCTGTGATTAGTTCTACTTCCTTAGCTAAATGGTTACTTAAAAGGTGTGTACACTACCTACTTGACTGTCCCTTCCTCCCACACTCCAAGTAAATTGATTTTAAAGAATCATAACTCCCTTCTCACATGTTCATTGAAATCTCATAAGTGACACTAGTTGTTGTAATTTATCATATAGCAGATAGCGCTTCCATTAACCTGAGGTATAAGTTCTCCTTCCACCTGAGTACTGCTTCAGTCATGTTTTAAAAATCTATTCCCTTTTGGATGCTTCACTTTCAGGTGACTTATTGTGTTGCTTTTTCCTGCTGTGCTGCCCTTTCTTCCATTCCATGTACTAGCTGTAAAGTTTGATTTAGTTTGTGCTGGTGCTTCACCAAACAGGACTGTAAATAAACTGCATTTGATGACAAATTCATGTTGCAGAGTTGGGAGCAGAGCAAGAGTTCATAGAAGAAGCAAGGCACTGAACTGGGTAGTAGAAGAGATTGTATTTTAGACTGTAAGTGCTTTGAGGTAGGAATTGTATATTCCTTTGTGTTTGAACAGTATCAGCACATTGTGGGAAGGACTGACAGGCCTTTTTTAAAAATCTCTTTAAAGAGTTTGGGCCAAACATTACCAGTGTTCTAGGAGCACAGATAACAAGTTGATATCATTCAGTATATGTGCAACTCATTTTTCAGAATTGCAGAATTTGCTCTTTGAATCTCGTTCTTTGAGGCATGCAGCACTTGAACAAGATTACAACCACTTTGGTGCACTAAAGTAAACGGCAAACTTTGCCTTTTAAAACATTTTCTTCCATTCAATCTTCTGTCACTTTTGATAATCTTTGAAGTAGCTATGCAATGTGTATAGCATGCTGAAAAATGATGTGACAGTCCTTGACAACTGATGAACTGGCATGCTGGAGAAATAAAGCAATCTAAGTGCTAATACCACGTTCAGTTTATTTGTATTTGATACTAAGAGCTCACTTTTTTTCTTCCTGGGTATGAAGAAACGGAACTGCTTCCTGCAAAACCAAGCAACTGTAGTGGAAAAAGCTTTATTGTAACCAAATAATAATCTTTTATTCTCAGTCATCCTTTGAACTGGATAAAGTTCGTAGTTAAAACTGCAGACTAAAGACTTAGACTCCTCCACATTTGCAACTTGTGTCTCTTCATCTGCTATCAGTAAAGACCAAATAGAGAGTTGTGATAGCTAAAGTGCTTAAACTGTGTTGCTAATATACAATTTATTTCTCCAACTTCCTATACCAGTTTAAACAAAATCACTAGGTAGAGACTGGGGTACTTCAGAATAATGAAGTATAATAATACAATTAGGCTTGGAATTTGAAAGGAGCCGAGGGAAGTTTCAAAGAGATTGTTTACATTGGAAATTATTTTGTTTGTGGCTGACTGCTCAGCCAGATGTAATGAGGAATGTCAGGTCTGCTGATGTAGAAATCACTAACTGGAGTTCCATTAACATACTGTAGCAATCAGCTGTCATACATTTTCCACCTTTAGCCAAGAGATATAATTGCTCTATGCCTGGATGTGTCTGCATATTCTGATTCTGCATTTGGTAAGTGGCTGTTGATAAACAGCCCACACATTTCCTAAACATGAGTACTACCATAAAGTCCCATTTGTTTTGAATAGTATAGGAAGTTTTTAGACAAGGCTTATTTATTAGTTTTATTTCTCTCAACACTCCTACTAGCCCCAACATCCCCATGATGGCTGAACGTCTGGAGTAGATGCATAGAGGGGTTTGTTATACTTGATTATCTGTAATACTTGGTGGACTGAGTGCTAGTGAGAGAGCCATTAATTATAGGTAAGGCTACGTTTTAGTCATAGGTATTTTTAGTAAAAGTTACAGACAAGTCACGGGCAGTACACACAAATTCACAACCCATGACCTGTGCATTTTACTAAAAATACCAGTGAATAAAATTGGGAGGGGGGAGCATTGCCTGGGGGCCTGCAGGTGCTGGCGGAGGGTGGCCTGGCTGCTTGGGGGAGGGGGCCGCAGCGCACGGCCCAGGTGTGGTGGTGCTTGGGGGGAGAGGGGGTTGGGGCACTGTGACAGGGTGAGGCAGGCTTTGGGCAGCACTTACCTGGGGGTCCTCCCTGGAAGCGGCGACACCCCCCGCCCCCTTGCTCAGCTCTGCACGCTGCCTCTGTCTGTAGGTACTGCCCCCGCAGCGCCCATTGGCCGAGATTCCTGGCCAATGGGAGCTGCAAAGCCAGCGCTCTGGGCGGAGGCAGCCCACAGAGCTGCCTCGCCACGCCTCCGCCTAGCAGCTGAGTGAGGGGGGTGTCGCTGCTTCCGGGGAGCCCCTCCCAGGTAAGCACCGCCCAGAGCCTGCCTCACCCTGTCCAGTGGCCCAACCCCCTCCCACACCCAAATTCTGCTGCGGGGGGTAGGGGCATGGTGGCCCGAGACTGCCCCAGCAGTGGCCGGTGCCCCTGGCACAAGGGCTCCCTGAGCTGCTCCTGAGCCAGGCGCACTGGCTGCTGCAGAAGTCACAGAGGTCACGGAAAGTCACGGAATCCGTGACTTCCATGACAAACTCGCAGCCTTAGTGATAGAGGAATGACATCCATGCTGTAAATGTTTCCTTTAAATCCAGAGAGAGCAACTGCTAGAGCTACTTAGTTTCTGCTCAACCATGTGAGTTTAATGTGGAATAAATGCTCCATTCCAAGTAATTCTCTCACACTATACTACAGACTTATAAAGTGCACAGAAATAAGACATAACCTGTATCAGGAGGGGCTCAGTCCTGCAGCCTTTATTCATTAAAGTAGTCTCTACTTCACAGGTTGTCTCATCAAAGTCAATAGGACTAATCATGTGAATAAAGGCCGCACAGCCTGTCATTAATTTAGACATAACTCAGCAAGTGATGACCAAAGGAGTGATGGAAGAAGGGAGAATGACAGTCATGACAAGACTGGATACTAGAGTCTGCTCCCAGGACAGAAGCGCTGTAATCACAGTGTTCGGGGGGGAGGGGGTTGCTACTCTGGAGAATGTTAGCAGAAACAACCAAAACATTGTCATAGGATTACAACAGAGCCAGTGTCTGAGTAATTACTTTTTTACCTTTTGTGTAGCAAAGGGGACATGTGACAGAGAAACAGCTTCAGCTGAAATCTGTAACAATTTTTGTTCTGATGATATTGCGAAGTGCAAATTACTGGCAGTACCAGCTTCCTGGGAAAGGAACTTCGACAAACAAGGCTAAAGAGATTAATACACAATCATTCTGTAGTTGAAATCTAATGTTAAAAAAAAAATGCTTTGTAGCTTCTCAAGATTCATTGATATATACAACAGATGAGGCACTAAGAGGACAGAAACTGAATAAGTTTGAGTGGCCTCTCTTGGAGAGGTTTTACTCAGCAGCTAGCAATAGCTTACTGTTAGCTTTCTACTTTTTTTTTTTTTTTTTTCCTTTCTGATTCTCCAATCAGTACTCTTCGGGTATGTCTACATGACCCGCCGCCTCCTCTCCCTCTTCCCCTCCCCCCCCCAAACAAACCCCTAACAACGTGGCAGTGCATCTTAGAATCTGGGTCTGCAGATGTGGGCTCGCATTACGGTACTAAGAATAGCTGTGTAGATGTTTGGGCTCGGTCTCTGAAACCCACCCCTTTCCCTGCCCTTCAGAGCCTGAGCCTGAACATCTACATGGCTCTTTTTAGCGCCCGGGATATTTTACTGTGGAGACATAAATGGGATTGTGGTAGGTGTTTACCAACTATGCAAACTGTTCTACCCTCCCCATTTTCCAGCACAATACTACAGCAAAGGACTGTGATCCTTTTATATTATATGGCCTTAAGTACGTTTTAAGTGCTTGTAAAATGATAAGAAAATATCACATTTTAAGAGCTAACTAAAGCATATTTTCTACTGAAGCAGGGGACTGGTAGTATTCTTTGGTTTTATTTCATGCTCTGCTCACTGATTGTGACTTTGGAAAAGTTGCTTAACTTCTAAGCTTCAGTTTACCTACCTTGTTGTGGGGGGGAGCGGGAGGGTGATGTTTCATTAATGTAAATATGCAATGTATTATAAGAGCAAAGTAATGATTTAGTAAATGTTAAATTAAAACTTATACCAAAAAGTTTGATCATGCAAGGACTCTGGAATAGCTTTGAGATTTCTAGGCATTTTAGGCTTCTCTACCCTTTCCAAGGGATTAAGTTTTTGCATGTAATAGGTGTGTCCCTCCTATCTCCTCTAGGTATATAACCATCGTACTCAAGACTGTGCCATCTGAGTGAGGACTTGTGTAAGAATGCATGAAGACAGAAATGAACTTTTTCTAGTACTTCTCTCCCGCTGCATACATCTTGACTGGGATTTTCAAAGGAGTTTAAGGATTTAGCTGCCTAATTCCTATTGAAATTCAGTGGGAATTGGACACCTAACTCACTTAAGCTTCTCTGAAAATCCTAGTATATATCTAAATTTTAAGTCTCAGAAAACTATATCAAATATATTCTATTAGTGCTATAAATGTGAACTTCCTAACACTAGGAAGAGGTAAATTGAAGAGCAGAAAGAGCAGCGGTTCTAACTATGCGCCACACACCATGCTCCCCCCCCCCCCAACTAATAAATGTTGAATGCTTTGAAAATAATGAACTTCAACTAAACTGTTAAATTAATCAGAGCTATATTTAACCTACTATCTTTGAGCAAAACTCCTATTACCCTCAATGAAGATCTTTTGTTACTCAAGTCAGGGCTTAAAAACCTAGTCACCCATACCCAGGGTGTATTTATATTTGCGGTCCAAGTGAATGATCCTCTCTGTGAAGCTGCTGCATCCTTTCTTGGGAGAGGAGGAAGCTGGGGAATTATTGCCCCAGGCACTGTTGATCCTCTCTTTAAAAAAGAATGGGGTTGCAAGGAGTGAGGAACACAAATGGTACTGATGGGTTGAGTATATGGGGGTTGGAGGAGAGATCAAGCAGATATAACAGGAGAAATAGGAGATTGGGTGGATATTATGGGGAAGGGGAGGATGAGGGAGAAAACAGTGTGGGGAAATACCAAAAAGTCTGTCAGGGTGAAAGCAGGAATACACTGATGATACTGCAGATAAAAATGCCCTACAGTATTAGCACTTTTTTTTTTTTCTTTTTTTTTAAAAGAAAATGAGTGGCATGAAGTGAGGAAGGAAAAGGAGTTGTAAAGAAAGCTGTGGAGACCTTGTAGCATGTATTAAATAAAAAGCTGACAGTGTGCTTAAATATAGTAGAGTGCACAATAAGCAGTACAAGGTCCTCTTTTATAAATTACAGAGGACATTGTTTTGAGAGAAAGGTAGCATGGGTATTTTTCCTCATGGTTAGTGTATTAAGACCTAATCTTACAGTTCTGGCATATGAACCCTAATTACAAATTTAATTTAGCCTTTATCACAGAATGAGTTTCATGGTCCTGTCCTCCTGCATTGAAGAGATTTATTATGCTTTAAACACTAAATTGAAATGGTAGTGTTTTAAGAACTTTGTGCTGACTAGTTTTTTATTGCAGTTACAATATATGTGATACATGATGTAAGTTAATGTGTCAAGATGAGTGATATTGTTTTGGAAATTCATTATAAAGAAACTACTAAAACCTTAAGATCAGTAAAGAAATTCTGGTAGGAAATCCATGTAGAACATTGAGTTTTACAATAGGTTTTGGCCTTTGATCAGTTTCATTTTAAATGTCCTCTAAAACATTTTTAAAATGGGTTGCGAGGGGAGTAAATAAATGAACTAGAGCTTAAGGCATTACTAAGTCTGTCAAAATAAAGTTTTGTGCTGTGGAAATCTTCAGTGTTAGTTTTTACCAGTTTCAGAGGAATGCAATACAAGATAGTAGTACCAAAGAAACTGTGGCCAAAACTTTCAAACTTGGGTGCCTGTAGATTCATATATTTAAGAGCGGAAGGAACCATTAGATTATCTAAGCAGACCTCCTATATGCTATAGAACTTTACCCAATTATGCCTGCATTGAGCCCAATAACTTGTTTGACTAAAGCATATCTTCCAGAAAGGTATCCAATCTTGATTTGAAGATTTAAAAAAATGGAGAATTTACCACTTGCATTGGTATTTTCTTTCAGTGGTTAATCACCCTCACTCACTATTATACATTTGGGCTGAATTTCTAATTTGAATTTCTGCCTTTAATTTCCGGTGATCAGTTCTTGTTACACCTTTCTCTGCTAGATTAAAGAGCTCTTTAGTACCTGGTATTTTCTCCCTGTGAAGGTACTTGTACACTGGTAGGCATCTAAATCTTTATTTTGTCACCTAAATACATGGCTTCATTTTCAAAAAGTGCAGAGCACCTGCAGCTTCCATATACCTCAGTGGGAGCTGCAGGTGCTCAACACCTTTTGAAAATTAGGCCATTAATTCAGGTGCCTAATTTAAAACACGCATATTCATAAAAGTTAGCTCTATTATGTAGGTTAACTTTTTCCTTCTGCTTTAGTGTTCCTAGGATACCTTGGGCCTTTGCCATGACTGAAGTGTGTGGTGTGATTCTCTGCTACATTTGGCTCCTGGTTCTCCTCCTTCACAGACACAGGTATAGTACTTTCAATTAAAAGAACTCTTAATTCAGAAACATCTGTTGGCAACCTAATAAAGATTGAATGTGACAGAAATCCATCATAATAACTATAGCCAAGACTTACCTTTAAACACAATTGTTATTTACCATCATTAAGATGGCACGATGAGGCCATGGTACAATTCTTCCTTCCACTTCCCATAAAGAATTCCTTTGTTTCCTTTATTTGTGCCTGGAGGATACCACTATTTTGTGCTACTTTACTTCCATTGGGGTGGTTGTTGCCACTTTATTTTGCAATGTTGGTTGAATTGGGAACCCATGAAAACCAATCTTGTATATCTCTCTCTGCCCCACCGTCTGAATGTCCACCATTTCTAAATAACCAGCCTGTTTATAGGAACTGGGTGTATATGTCCCCAGACTGGGAGATGAGTGACATGTGTCAGACATGACTAGCTCCACAACATTTCTTCCAACTGTTCTGTTCTCTTTAGTCCAGGGATTCCAGTGTGTCCTCTTGCAGGGCTTTCTCCAGAAGCTTGTAAACTTCTTCTCTGAATGACTAGCTAATAGCAACTTAGTTCTAATGAGAGAACCAAGAAAAATAGTTTTACATACCTTACACTTAGAATAAACAATATCTTTGTAGTTGAGTCAGAAGTGACAATTTGAGTTGACTTTTTTTTTTTTCTCTTCTAGAGAAGCATAACATTAACTAGTGCCCAAGAGACAAGGTGGACAAAAACCACCTTTGCTCCTTTTTGTATCATGAGCAGGACAAAGGAATCATTGACTTGCCTGTCTTAAGATCAATATTAAATGATCGTAAATTTGGGAGGGTCTAATTAATTTTAGTATTGCTGCATTTTGTGTTAGTGCTTTGAAACATTTCATCTCAACACTAAAGAGTTCACTGGACAACTTGTGTGTAGGACCTCATATAAGATTGTAGTTCCAAAGGAGAAGAATTTGTTGTTCTAAGTGCTCTTGTATACAGCATCCATATTGTCCCTTTGCTGAATAGGAGATAGAGTGTCACCTCAGTCTGAGGGGAAAACCCCAAGAGCATAGCAGACATGGTTGAAGAATCACATTTTTTATATGCTTGTGAAATGAGGGCTGGCATTCCTGAGACTTGGCTTTTGTCACTCTATTATGGACAAATTGTGGGTGTAAATACTGTATTCAGAGACATGTTGACTTCTGAACCCTTGTATGCAGTGATCTGAATATCTTTGTCAGTCACTTTCACCATGACACACAATTTCATTCAAAAATGTCAGTATTTCAGTAAGATGCCAGTACATAAAACAACATTACTATTTGAAAGAAAGATTAAAAATAGAAATAAAACTTAATACCATGTTAGGCTAAATTGTTGTAGTTCAAGAAATCCCTGTCCCATTAAAAATCATGTCATGGGGATAAGTTAGAGAAGAATGCTGTAAATCTCTCATAATTCTTTTAATTTTCATAACCAAATGTGCAAAAGTATTTGAATTCTTGTACGACTCTTGCGTCCCTTTTTATTTTCCCAGGTCTATACTCTTACGCAGATTGTGTAGCTTAATGGGGACAGTGTTCTTGTTGCGTTGCTTTACAATGTTTGTTACCTCACTCTCTGTGCCAGGCCAGCATCTGCAGTGTTCCGGAAAGGTAAAGGAATATTCTTAAATGTTTGTTTTTTCTGATTTTGGTTTAACTTTCTCAGATGAAAATTATTGTGATAAGGATAGTCATATTGTAAGCATATATGTAGTTAGCTGCAAACTTCTGCTTGTTAAATACTGACCCTCATGTGCAAATCAAGGATCATTAATTTGGTAGTCACTTCTATAGGGTTTTTGATAGAAAGCACTTAAAATATTGCATTCATTTTGGGGCTTTCAGGGTAGTACTCTATGCAAATGAGAGGATTCATCAGAGGAACACATTTGAGTGACTGAAGGGGATGATTTATGAGGAATGACTGAAAATTAAATATTTATACCTCATCTAGCCTGCTAAAATGACACACAGCTGCCAAGTATTTGAAGGATGGAAACACTAAGGAGAGAGAAGGCTTGTGTAGGGCGTAAGACTATAACTAAAAATAAAGGGATGAAATTATGAAAAATGTTTAGGCTGAATAGCAGGAAAATCTTTTTGACTGACTCACTAGGCTGTGGAATAAATCCTCAAGAGAATGTGTGGAAGCTCCATTATGTGAATCATTTATAGCTATGGATTAAATAAACCACAGAATTTAGAGAAAGCACTTATCAGAGGTACTTTGTGTACCTCTGTAATTATAGTTCTAGATCCTAGTTATGCCAAAATAGAATCCATGGGCTGTTCTGATCATCTGTATTTGCAGTAAAAAGTTAAAAATGGAAACAGGGAATGTGAATTAAATATACATAGTGCTAGGCAGCAACTGAATTTCTATTAGACATGTTTGGACTATAGTAAAAAGTATTCTTAGCAATGGCTTTTAAATATTAATGTTGCTGTTTTAATTTTAGTTGTATGGCAACGTGTGGGCAAAACTTCAGCGAGCATTTGCAATATGGAGTGGTTTTGGAATGACACTCACTGGAGTACATACATGTGGAGACTACATGTTCAGTGGCCATACTGTTGTCCTGACTATGCTGAACTTCTTTGTCACTGAATGTAAGTACACAATGCCAGTGTCCAAACACGTACGAGTATTATGGAGACATGACAGTGACTGTAATTAAGAGGCATACTCCTTCCCTATTTTTATTTCTTCCGTTCTCAAAATCTCCTCTTTTTTGACTGAAAGCTTGTCCTTTTATGACTGAAAGCTTTCATGATTAGTGTTGAGCTGGAGATGGAAGTTACTTAAAAAGAACTAAGTCCCTGAGTATTTTGACCAATCTTAGCTATTTCTAATGTGCCAATCACTGTAGAATCTAGGTGTCCTAAAAGATTAGAATGGAATGTGCTTGATAAGATTTGCTTAGACTATAACTGGAAAGTGAAGGGTAAGTGGTTTTCAGAATGCACCTAGCTACTTTTCAAGCCCCCAAACAGACTTCTTACCAGGCTTCCTGCCCTCCTTGTAAAAGTGCTTACGGGGGGAGCCTGAGCAGTTCGAGGACATACATTCCATATGGGAGCTTATGAAATGGATTTCCGTAGCACCTTCAGGCTCAAAAGCATTTGGGTGGGGTTTTGGTAACCCCAGCCCCAAAGGCAACTTTCTAAAAAGATTTTAACAAGTGAAGATTGGGGGTGGAAAATGGAAGTTCCATATCAGTTTCAACTACAGTGTCACTGCCATGTTTTTAAAATCTTCTTAATTTAAGACTCTCTTAAATGAACTAAATAGAGATGTGATCTTGCTGTTCAAGTTGCTTTCTTGTACAGCAGTGGTCTTCCATTCTTCAACTGTCCGTACCCGTGTTAATATTTTCCCTTTCTCTATTACTTTTCTCAGTTCTCAATTTTATTTTAGAAGTCGCCTTCACATTGCGTTATCCTTATCTGATCCCCACTCTTTTTGTGTTTCATCCCTCTTTCCTGCATACAATAAGCTTCTTATAGTGTTAACATGAGTCTAGTACTTAGAAAATAAAACTTTACAAAGATACAAGCCTTTTGACTGGTCTTCACACAGTACTTGATGCTGATATTAATTATCCGTCACTCTATAAAGTATCGTTAGTAATTCAAAATGTGACTTTTTTTTTAATGCATTAAACAGCAAATTAAGAGAGCTAGCTTGACTAGGAATTGTAGTTGAATTAATTCAAAATCAGTTATACATGCGCACCTGGAAACTTCTTTCTCTTAAAGAAAAGTATGCGAGACCTACCTATATCTGTATAGCTGCCACTGGAGAAGGTGTTCAGTTTGTAGTCATGCCATATGTTACTATGTAATGGAGCCCTGCAGCGGGACTGGGATCCTGCAGGATCCGCTGCCATAATGACCGGAGCGGGAGTAAAGAATAGTCCTGCACAGGGCTCTACTGTGCAATATTTCTATGTACTGTTAAACAGGTGCCCCCTTTCGCCACTGTGCTTGTTGCACTTCAGTGATGGGTGAAGTGATTCATAGTCATAATTCTTAATGAAGTATTCTGAAGTAAATTAATTGGGCTGTGCATATGAGTACCGGATCAGGCCCCTAATTTGTTCAGTCCTTCGGATTGCTGTGTAAATGTAAGATCATGTCAGGTGTCTGATGGGAGTGGGTGTAGTAAACTTGCTAAGAACTTTGGTTTGTGAAACATTCTAGGTGAATCTTTTAACTTGATACTTTGTCCTTTGCTAGATACACCAAGAAGCTGGAACTTCTTACATACTTTATCCTGGGTCCTGAATCTCTTTGGAATTTTCTTCATTTTGGCTGCACATGAACATTACTCTATAGATGTCTTCATTGCCTTCTACATCACCACAAGACTCTTTTTGTACTACCACACATTGGCTAATACCAGAGCATATCAGCAGAGTAGGAGAGCAAGAATCTGGTTTCCAATGTTTTCTTTTTTTGAATGCAATGTTAATGGTACAGTTCCTAATGAGTATTGCTGGCCCTTTTCAAAACCTACAATAATGAGAAGGTTAATTGGATGAAGAGTACCTAGTTTAATCTAAGTTAGTATGAAGTATTCGTAACAAATCTCTACAGAACTAGTTGAAAAAATAAGAAAATAACTGTTTCCATCCCTGTGGTCTCATGCCCCACTTCTTAGATTCTCAGTCACAAAGTTGGGATTTCCATACTTCACAAGGTAGTAGTAGAAACTAACGCTAGGAGGATAAGTAGAGGCTGCCCCATAGATCATTATGAATCTGAAATAGAGAAGTCGTCATTACCATTGGCATGATTCTACAAAAATGCTTTAGGGTAGAGAATAACTTACACTTTTAATGTATGCTTTACCGGACTTGCTGTTTTGAGGTCCAGATGATCTCTGGTACCTTGAATGTTTGCCTGTACAAATAATACTAAGTACTAATTTGTTAGCCACTGACTTTCTTTTAAAAATAATATTAAATATAACTTTTTCCGTTGAGGCATGTACACTTACAAAATGAGATTCTGAAGAGTAGCTTGTCAGAATAAGGAAGGTAGTATAGCTCTTTACTAAATGGTTTCCCAGAAATCTTAAATAAGAATTCTGAAAAAGGTATAATTGACAATGTGGTGTGTGTGTATATACAGAATGCCAAAAATGAAACCGCCTGCTTTTTTGATTTGGGGGTTGTCAGCTATTAAGATCATGTTTGAACAGGGCTTATTTGGTCAGAATAAACGGTTTATGCCATTGTCCTGCTGCTTAGATAGTTCCTTGTTGGGTTAGAAATGAAAGCTACATCTCTTGAAAATGAAGTTGAGGTAGCTTTAGTGCTTTAGAGTCACATAGTTACTCTCTCTTCTGTATGGTTTATCAAATACTTCACCTAAACCTATGCATGCTTTTTATGAGCAACTCTTTAACCACTAGAAGAATAGAACAGTTAAATTTATCTTGAAGTAACGTAGTGCCTCGTAAATAGATGGGGAAATGCATGTAGTGATTTTTTTTTTCCCCTTCAGGAAAAGTTTAAAAGCAAGTTTCAAAAATAGTGCTAATGTTGATCTTTTTTTATTAATTTTTTTGTCCCAATCCATCTGGTATCAGCAAATGTTGAACATGTTTGAATGCCTAAGGGTTTTTTGATGAACTGTATATACAGTAAAATGCTTTATACTTAGTCTTAGAAATTATGAAAATAGACTGTTAGAAATAAGCTGCTTGTTTATAACACTAGGAGTTACAGTATCTTAAGTGGTTTAACTTCTATCATTTTTTTGAGAGATCCTGACTTTGCTTGTGAAAGACTAGTGGTTAGAACTGGAGCCTGAAGTAGTGTGTGCAAGCAAGGCCCATACTTGTTAGTGATCTTACAAACCGTTATCCATATATTTTTGTGTGCAAGAAGGTAGCTTTAACTGTAGTTACTCAGATTTAATGGGAAATAGTAGTGTAATTTGAGAGTTGCAAATTGCAACAAATATATAAATGTTGGTGATCATCACGTTAATTCACTATCCCACAATTTCAGAATAGCTAATGTGTGAGAAGAGGTAGTAAAATGTCAGCCTCAAAAAATTTCCATGACAGTTTGCCATCCCGATACAAACTGTTCACTCCCACTTTACAGTGAGTATAGGAAAACTGAAATACATACAGTACTTGCCTGTCAACAACAAATTTACCCAGTCAAGTAGAATTTTGCAAGACTTGGTTAGGTATTTGAAGCTCAACAATCTAGTATGGTCTCCCATCTCTACATTTATGGGCCTTAACAAAGATACTTTAAACTTGGAATTAGAAGCAGTAATTAAGGAGAGAATATATTATCGGCTTTTCATAATGTTTATTTTAAAAGTTTGCAAGTTTATTTAGTTCCTGTTCCTGGGACGAATTCCATATCCCAGAGTATCTGTACCAAATGCAGGAGCACACCTAGTGTAAGTTACATTGCTCTGCAGACTTTGATTTCTGTAACATTCCTGTTCTTTAACAAACCTGCTGCTAATGGTAAAGCATCCAAACCTGCTGAGTGCTCCCAGCACCTAAACTAGGGAAATGCACTGACACTTTGCAAAACAGACTCTTTAATCTCCAAGGATTTATGTTTTTATGATAAACAATGTTTGTTTGCTGCCCTTGTCTTCCTGATAGGAAGAGGCAGTCTGAACATTCCTCTCTGGTACTCTGGAATAAAACATCCCCAGCTATGGGGACGCACTTGCTTCTGCAGTGCCCAGTAATTCATTGGGCCATTGTTTAACAGTGTTATTTCTTTAACACTTTAATGTGTGTCCAAAATGTGTAAAGATTTATATTCTTTGAGGTTTTTGATACTTTAGGGAAAACAGGAATAAAAAATGCAACTAAATTTGCAAAGCTATTGACTCTGACAGTAACTCCAGACTGCTGATCAGCTTTGCTGTCTGAATTGTAGAATTCTTTTTCAGTCTTTTATTTACTCATGTCTAGTAAAGCAAAAAGTTCTATAACTTATCACAAAAGTGTTTACATAAACTAAAATGACATCTCAAGATTTTTATGTGTAATACTTCAAGTTCAAATCTTTGTTTTTGAAGCATAAACATTCTTGGGTTTTTATTTTGCCTCCAGCTTTATTTATTTCTCAAGTGCTGTTTACATCTAAAGTATTGTCAAGTCAGTATTGCTGTTTGTTTTTTGAATATTTTTATGAAAATAGGATATTTGCTATCTACACCATTGCTTTATGTATTCACACACTGATCCTCTTGCTGCTAAGAATCTGTTTCGGATATTTGTAACATGCAGGATTGATTTCCTGGGAACTGGGCAGGGTGTTAAGACTGTCAATCCTTCTGTTTCTTGGAGGTTGGGCATCTCTGCCAATAGAGACAAATGCAGTAGTTCATAACGATTTTCTGACTATAAAGAGAAAACAAAATATTTCAGGTGCTTTTATTCAGAGTTTCAAAACAAGGGTTGGCCCTTAAAGCAATACTGACAACTTGATTAGACTTTCCCCCCAATTCGTTTCAAAGTCAAGTGAGGTACAGAATTTTTAAAGTGTTTTTATACAGGTTTTTTTGCCCCTGCTGTTAACAAGTCTTGGTGTTTGCTTTTGCAGCAGAAAGGGTGGGCCTGAATAATGCTAAACATGCTCAAGCTTGCTGTGCCTCCCCTTTTATGACCTCACACACCTGCATGCTGCCTCTTCTATTTCATCTTACCTGCAGCTCTTTCTGGCAGATGCCCTGTTGCAGAGCCTGGAGTAAAACCATACGTGAGTTCCCCCTCAAAACAGGACATGTGTGAGGTCATCAGGTTAGTGCTTTATACAGGAAGTGCAAATGATGAGAAATGGACTTTCAAACACACAAAGTAAATAAACTGAATCAAATAGAGAAACATTTCTCTAATCTTTCAGTTACAAGGAATACCTGAGATTATTGGAACAGTAGGGTCAGATTTACAGATTCCCGCCCCCACCCCCCCAAAAAAAACAAAAAAACCCCAAACTGATTATGTCCCTTTTAACTTGGCTGAAATAGTTGAGGTCTTGAGGAACCCTGGCTTAATACTTGAGGCAAAAGTGTAAATTCAGGCTTAGATTTTTGGTGTATATTGAAGGTGAAACGCAAAGAGGAAAGTGCCCTTTCTCGGTCTCGTGACATAAGAAGGCTGAAAGCTACATGCAAATTGTTTGTGTTCAAAATATCAGGTCTTGATTCTTTTTGCTGGAGGATTCCTCTGAGGACTGGAAAATTAGTGGGATTGTGACACTACCAGAGAATGAACCTGAATAAAAAAACAAGTACTTTTAAAAACCGTTTAACGCAAACTCCTGACAAAGACTTGGGAGAGAATCTTTTTATCAAAGATTCAACACCTCTGCTTTTCAACTGAGGACTCAGCTTCCACTCCACTTCTCTATTCCTTTTATGGAGTCCTCCAGCAAAAACAGGACAACTCAAAAGTTCTGATATGTCTAAGAAAATCAAATAAGCAGAAACATTTCAATAGGCCCCCAAGTCCTCAGACTTTCAGACTGACTTAGAGCCAGATCTTGCAAGGTGTTAAGCACATAGCTTGATCTAGCAAAACATACGCTTAACTTTAAGCACATGAGTAGACCCATTAACTTCAGTGAGATTACTCGTGCTTTAAGTGCTTCCCTGCATCTGGGCCAATGTGCTCAGCACCATGTAGAACCGAGCCCTTGTATTATAAATAAGTGGGCAAATGATTTTGTTTTCTATTTTAGGTCACATTAAATCTCCATGCACCATATGGAAAACATGTTCCAATAGAATATCTAAGATAAACGAATGTTCGAAGTAAAGTCACTTCTGTAGAGATGACATCAAATCTAGGACCATTGGTATTAGTGGTTTGATGTTATAAGAAGCAGAGCTCAGTGAAAATGAGCTGGAAATCCCAACTGCCAGTGCTAATATGGTAAATAAAACCTTTTCACAAGTTTCTAACCCCACAAGCCCCAAAACTTGGCTAATTTATAAATGTGTAGATTGTTCAGTGTAGCAATTCTTGATCTGTTTTCCCATATGGCTAACTGTATTTTTTTCATATGGTGCAAAAAAGAATAACACTTGGGGGAATGGTATTAGTGGAATTTACTGTGGTGTTGAACAAAAATCAATATTTAAAACAGCATTCCTAAAGTCTGCATAACTTTTTATTAGCACAGCGGTATTAAGTACTTACACACTACAGTGCTACACTGTTTCATTACTAGTTACACAATTTCTTATTAGTACAACAAAATCAAGTTACTTGGAATTGTCTGAGTTTAATGGAAGTTCTTTTGTAGACTTCAAGTACCACATAAAAATAATGAATTATTAGTCCTTTCCTTCCTGTATTTTTTTCTATTTGAGAAGATTAAGATATTTTTGTCAAGAAGGATTTTGCCATAATTTATGTTGCTTTATTCAAAGCAATTTAGGATTCTTTTTTAAAAAAAAGTTCACCCATGGTAATTATAAAGCCAACATGGCTTTGTAGGGTTGGCAGTTTGTAATTAGTAGATACCCCAGCAATGATCTAACGTGAACTGTGAATTACCTCGCCTGCCTAAAGGCCTTTTTGTGTCAAGGATTAATTGGT